CTGGTTCAGTGGGTGAGGGAAGAGTACTGGATGTTGTTTATCTCAAATTTAGTAAGGCTTTTGGCACTGTCTACCATAACATCTTCATGAAGTACAGGCTAAGTAAGTGTTCAGTGAGTTGGATTGAAAACTGGCTGAACTGCTTAGGCTCAAACAGTTGTGCACAAAATCCAGCTGGAGGCCAATCACTAGTGCCCCAGGGTCGATGGTGGGTCCCAAATTGTTTCACATCTTCATTACTGACATGGATGATGGGACAGAGCGTACCCTCACCAAGTTTGCAGACAATACAAAACTGGGAGGAGTGGCTGATAAACCAGAGGGTTATGCTGCCATTCAGAAGGACCTCAGCTGACTTGAGAAATGGGTAAACTGGAACTTCATGAAATTTGACAAAGGGGAATGCAAAGTCCTGCACCTGGGGAAGAACAGCCCCAGGCACCAGTACAGACTGGGGCTGGACAGCTCGAAAGCAGCTTCGTAGAAAAGGACTGTGGGTCCTGGAGAACAAGCTGACTGTGAGCCAGCAATGTGCCCTCATGGCAAAAAAGGCCAACAGCCTCCTGGGCTGCATTAGGCAGAGCATTTCCAGCAGATCAGGAGAGGTGATCCTTCATCTTTGCTCAGCCCTGGTGAGACACACCGGGAATGCTGTGTCCAGTTCTGGGCTTCCCAGTACAGGAGACACGGACATGCTGGAATGCGTCCAGTGTATAAATGGACATGGACACAGACATACTGGAGTGAGTCCAGTGAAGGGCCACAAAGATTTTTAAGGGATAGGAGCATCTGACATACAAGCAGTGGCCGAGAGAGCTGGTACTGTTCAGCCTCGAGAAGAGAAGGCTCAGGGGGATCTTATCAATGTATATAAATACCTGATGGGAGGAGGTGGAGGGAGTAAAGAAGACAGAGCCACATTCCTCTCAGTGGTGTCAAGTGAGAGGACAAGAGGCAGTGGGCACTAACTGAAACACAAGGAATTCCATCTAAATATAAGAAAATACTTTTCTACTGTGTGAATATCGAGCAGTGGCACAGGTTGCCCAGAGGTTGCGGGGTCTTCATTCTTGGAGGTACTCAAAATCCAGCTGGACGTGATCCTGGGCAACCTGCTCTAGCTAACTCTGTTTTGAGTGAAGGGGTTAGACTAGATGATCTCCAGAGGTGCCTTCCAACCTCAACCATTATGTGATTCTGTGAAGCACATAAAAGTGAAATAATAGTTCAGTTTGTTACATGGGCTAAATGCATTAGCTCTTTTGAAGATTTTCAAACTCCTAATTTTGGGGGAACAAAGTTACACTGAGGAATATGACCCCAAACTGGGAAAATAGGAGCAAGGGACATACTTATTACATAACCTCAAAGTAGCAGTACTTGGAAGCTAGCATACATGGATTGAACTTTTCCTAGCTAGGTCATGTGAGAGGATGAAGGGGATAGAGTACTGAAGTAAACTACAGCAGTGCACAAGGAAAACCAAGGAGTTTGGACTGAACTGTGACGTTTTTGCTCATATTAATATAGGTTTATTACACCATGTGCGTACCTGAAGCATCCTTCAGGTCATAAGTCATGCCCCAACATGGTGTGTGCAACAAACTTACATTGTCATTTAACAGAGGTTTGAGTTTTCTTTCACCTCTTTACTTGGCAGAAGGTGTATACATACTGACAGTACATCAGAGCTGCAGTTATTCCTGGTCCAAGCCTAGCTCTAGCAAGTACATTGCTTCATCACAGTCCTTTCTGTGTTACCATTTCCCCAACCCCATGTGCAGAAAGGGAAATGCTCCCTGACAGAGATGTTAAAAGACTAGGAGATGGATATACCACTGCAAGAGAGTCTGCCTTGAGGAAAGAGCTCCTCAGGGACAGAACAGTGGGACAGATATTGTGGAACACTCTCACCAGCCTCCTGACCCAACCTGCAGCTTCGCTGCAGAAGGGACAGGCTCAAGTCTGAGCTCAAACACAGCTGGGATTTTAACCCAGAAGTCTGACTGTGCAAACAACTTCAGCTTCTAAATGCAAGTACGCATATTCTTGTTAGTCCCTCAGAGCTTCTGAGAGGCACTGGGCAAAACCACATGTAGGAGTATACATTAAGACCACATCACAGACAAATCTGAGTGGTAAGGATGAAACATAAAGGATTGCCTTCAGACACATTTTGATTGGCGGTCTGTAATGTGTTTTTTAGCCAAGACTGTTACGCAGTTAGAAGCACCACGTTTGTCCTTGCATTTCCCGTAGCAGTAGTTAACATGCTACAGCTAATCAGGCTGTACATCGGTGCCAGGATTTACCGTGAAGTTGCAAAGGTAGTTAAAAATAGGTATTGAAAAGCAGAGTGCATACCATTTCTGGATGTCTCTGCTCAAGCAGAGTGGTAGATGGCTGGTGCTGTTAAACGAACATGCATGCCTATATATATAAATGACAAAAAAGGTGCCCAAGGAAAACCAGCAAATGCCTTATGATCAAAGGGAACAAGAGCCGGTGAAGATGATAACTGTAGTCAAAGGGTTTTGGAAGAAGATACTACCTTGGTGTTTTATCTATGTCATATTTCACCAAACTTTGCTTAGGTTTTAGAAAGAGCTGAGAACCACACAGAAACAACAGTGATCTTCAAGATGTGAGAGGTCCCAGATCCCCACAGATAGTGAGGGGTTTACCTAGCAGGAGATCAGCAGGACAGCAGCCTTATCATTTCCCCATCCCCTCTGTTTCAGTCACCTCTCAAGAAGACACTTCCTGCTCTTTGCTCCTTTGCACTCCTGCTCCTGTCAAGTTGTAACATCACTCATCTTCTGCAGAGCCACTCCTCCCTCACTTAAATTTCTGGAAGCCAGTTTAACTCAGTGTTGTTGCACTGACTTAAAGGGGACTACAGGATCTTAAGCCAGATAAGTATCTTATCTTGCATATAAAATTTCAAGTTCAGTACTGAAAATAAACAGAATTCTTGTATGGGAGATATTCCATTAGAATCGACCCCAGTTCAAATCTTTTTATTGAAGTAATATTACTACAAATCAAATATGCAGTGCCTCTGCAATTGTGCCCCAAATTATAGACTTGCAAATGAAATTGATTTCTAATTTGAAACATTCTTCCATTTCTTGGAAGTCCAAAGGAAGTTAGTATGGAACGGGCCATCACCAGCTTCACTAGTATTCATTTAAAAGTGAGTGTCTACCATTTGTCCCCAAATGAACTTTTTGCAGCTTTGTTTAGATACACTTTCCACATATCAAGACAATGCAATTTTCCTGCAAAATTAGATGTTCTTAAGTTAACTGCAGAGAGACAGAGCAGGTGAGCAATTCGAGGAGGGCAAGGCAGTGGCATGCAGGAAAAGACCAAGACTGGATACACAAAGTAGGATTACCTAATCCACCTTTTGCAATGGTGACAAATGTCCTTTTTATCATTTCCTTAGAAAAGGGCAATGTCATCCACAGAGCTGATTGTCACACAGAAAGTGTGCAGAATTAGGTCTCCAATCAGCCATTCACAGCCCTGTCAGTGTAGCCTCAAGTTGTGTTTTAAAAATACAACTGCCCCCCCTTCTGGCCAATAAGGACTCCCAAAAGTGGTTTTGCAAGGCTAATTTTCAAATGCAGTTTAGTTTTTAAAAGTTAATTAGGCTTGTTTTTGGATATAAACTCTCAGTCAAAGCACAGAACTTCCATTAAGTTTCAAAACATTTCTACACTTATTTAGGAAAAGTGAAGATTTTCCTTTGCTTACATAATGCCATATTCTGGGCTAACTATGTTCATCCATCAATTACTCAAGATAACGGGAAGGTTCTAACAACTCTGATGGAAAAAACCTCTGGCTCTTATTTGGTGTCTCAGGACCGGGCTTCCCATAAGCTTCCAGACCTGCAAGAGCTTACTCGGTCAGGAGCGGTGCCAGCTCAGGCCACTGCAAGTGACACAGTGACACCTGTGCCGTGCCCTGCCACGGCAGGGGAAATGCTGTTAGACCCAAACCAGGCTGCCTTAGGTGGCCAGTCGCCTGGCGGGTTAGTCCTCCATCTAGATGATCAATTCACAGATCACAGTGATGTAATAATGCCAACATCTCAATTTATAGCTTGGAAGGAAGACTACTTAAGGGAGGGTAATTGCTGGAATACAAACATTTTAATGACGGCTTTTTAAGTGACATTTCAAAATAAATCTCACGAACAATACAGATATCCATTTATATGCCGTCTGATCAACAGCATTCTGTAAGAGGACAAGAAGCCGAGAATGAGAAGCAACGCAACGCTTCTGTACAAGTCAGGTCCTTTCAATCCGGAAAAGTACGTAATTTAGGAAAGCAAACTCTGGGTTTCTTTCTCTCTTTCTGGTTAGGGGAAATTTTTTTTCAGTATAGTTCCTATATCCTTTTCCTGATGCTGAAATGCTAAATTGCAATATATAAAGTTTTTTTTCTAAATAATTACTCCTAACTGATACAGTATTAAATACAGAAAACACCTCCACAAGCAATATCACAGTTTAGTGAAGCCTCAATGAAAATTCATGGCAGAAATGAAAACCTAAACAACATTGAAAGACACCGCTTACATGTGCTGTGCACGTATTTCTTATCGATAGCTTTCTGTTTTTTAAAAGGAATACTAGCAAACAGGAGAAATATTACTTTTTTTTTTTTAAAAAAAAAGCATAATTCTGTGCTACAAAATTGGATACCAATGAACAAATTATCTCTAGGCTTTGTCCTCACCATCAACACATTGAGAAGTAGATGCGCTAAATCGCTTACATGGCAAATCTTAGGTTTAAATAAAAATGATGGCTACTTTTGTGAATTCGACACATCTGCAGAGCCAGGCAGTTGTCTGATATGTGGTCCTTAGCCCACCTGTATAGTCAGTATTAGCCTGTCCTGTGAAATTCTCCTCTTTGTAATTGCTACAATTCTTCTACATGAAAAATTAAGTAACAAAAAGTATGAAAGTGTCAAAATACCTGATTAATTATCTGTTGTTGCAATTTTTCTCCAGACTCTGAAAGAGAAAGAAAATAATTAGTTTGTACATATTTTAATGAATATGATCATGTACAAACAGTGAATTCAGCAAAAAAAAAAATCAAACCTTATAATGAAGAAATAGAATTTAACATGTACAAATGACTTGAAACTTCAAAACGGAAATCCACCTAAAGTAAAAGAAGGCAAGCCCCTCTTAATCAAGAGGTGATAAAAAGAAGATTGAGATAGGTACCCAATCTTGCTAATCTGGAACCCCACAAGGAATTACAACATTCAAAGTGAAGACAACAAATTTCAAATATGTGCTGTGAAGCATCTTAATGTTGTGAGATGTACTGCTGCATGTGTATGTGCCCGAGAGACCGGTACCATCTAGCTCAGGATTTGACCATTGGAGGAGGAAAGCAGCTTCTGCCATTACCCTAAAATAAAGTTACGTGCCTGTGTCAAGACTGAGGTTAGGCACCAGCTGGCTCGAGGGAGAAATTCTATCCTGATAATATCCACAAAGTGGCAAGCTGAATTATGGTCTTGCTTCCTTATTCTGGCCTTCTTCTGCAGTGTCCTTCAGTGTGCTCCTGAAGACATGATCAAAGCCTAGACAGAACGTTGCTTTTCTACAGCCATCTGGGACCCTAGCAGCAATGACACCTCACACCTATTCTTTCCTTTTAGATCAAAAGGGACAGTAATTTTGTCTCATTTACTGTTCCCATGCACTAGTTGTCAAAAGGGCAGCTTGTATCAATTACCCTCCCTTTGCTAATGGAGACCATCCACATGTATTGGGGAAAGTCAGGAATTCCACACTTACCTATCCAGCTAGCCTACATGTACTCACAGTGTGGTTTGTTGTTTTTTTTTTTTAAGTAATAATGATAGGACACTGTTTATAACCTGTTAGTATCACTATTAACTGTCAGGGGAGCCTGTTTCTGCCTAGCACGGGTGGCTGCCTCATCCAGCACTGGAAATGATACTCCATTTCAACAGAATTTTTTCGTACTGGTATGTGTGGCACAAGGTAGAATTTTTAAAATGAGGTGAAAATATTTTAAGTGTTAAAATACAGTATAAAGACACTATGAACTAAAGGAAAATGATCGTCCTTACTTGTCCCTAAGAACACTCCTCAAGGAAAGCATTTTAGATAATTCAGATAAAGATAATCACTTTAGGCTATATTAAAAGATTGTCTCTTATGATAATTATTTCCTGCATGCTTGTGTTGTGCTTTTATTTGCTAAATATAAAAACTATGCTTTTTTTTGCTAAAAAACCCCACAAAAACCTAACTATCATTTAGGGGAGACTTCTCAAAATGTATTCACTTGTTCACAGAGTTCATCTTTGGGAGAAATAGAATTTATTCTTGTAACTAATATTTTAACCAAATAGATTGTTGGTAATAGAAGATTAAAGGAGTATGTGTTTTTAGCATTCTCTAATGATATACAAGTTGCTAGGAAAGCAGAGTGTTTGAAATCTCTGGTTAGATCAACACTATTTTGCTCAAAGGTTTGTGGACTTTGAATACTGATGCTTTCCTGTTTCCCAGTACATTTGTTTTTAGGCTATTTTGATTCACTTTAAAGGAATTTTAATAACTTTCTGTTGACAGCATGGACAGCTGGTCTTGAGAATTAGTGAAAATTCACTTGCTGACTGAGGAAGGAAGTGACATCAATGAGTTTCTAAAGTCAGCCCAGGGGGAAAAGTGCGCTCCGCCAGAGTAGCCTTTCATGCCATTGTATTTCCAGTGACGCCTCGAGATGCAAATTGCATTATCAATCAAACTTGTGGCTTCTACCTCAGACAAATATAAAAAATAAACAGAAAGACTGGGAAAGACCTTTGTGGCCATTCCTGACACTGCTGAGGAAAAGGTGAAGAAGAACTTATGATAATTCTTTCCTCGATCACTCTTAGTTCTTTCTTTTGGTGATTTAAATACTATAGTATCAAGGAAAAGGCAGTTGCAGAAGTGTCTGTAATGATGACATGGTTAAACAGGACAGAGATTGACTAGGCTGTTAAGGATAGAAGAGAGATCAAATTCAAGGTCACCAGCAAATTGAATACTGTGTTCACCATTTATTTGCTAGATGATCCTTGTCCTCATCACAGAACAACTACGTGAATTTGGCATAGTCAGCAATTGTGCTCTGAAGAGGCCAAGGTCTGTAATAACAGAGATGCTGCAAATTAGGGTGGAAATACATTGGCACCATTATATGGGCAAGCCTGCAAGGTCCTGGTGTGCACTGTACTTTTGTTTTAGGAGAAAAGCTACAAAAAGCAGTGAAAAAACATGAACACACGAAACACCACCTTCTTTCTTAGCCTGAATAGCCTTATTTCCCTCTTTTTCACTGCTAATAGATCATCATTAAGTTAAAAAGAGAGATTCTTTCAAAAACAGCAACTATCAAATAAAAATGTCCCTCCAGAATTCAGCTTTAAAAAGGAAATTATTTTAAAAGGCACAAGAATGTTACACTGTGACAACACCTACAGCTCTGAAAGAGGGTTCAGTTTCCAGCTGACGGCTAACAGCAGGGCAGCAGAAGGCTTCGTCACTGAAAGTAACCAGAATTTTGTTTGTCCTGCTTTTTTTTTTCTTTTTTTTTTTTAAACCTCCAGAATTCTCTTACAGTGACTAGTCACTAATCTGTGTTTTATTTATGGCACCCTCAATTTCGAGAATGGTGTTTCTGTTTAGGTGCCTTGTGATCACTTGTGGTGGCCATCAGCATTCACTAGAGGGATTCAAGAAGCACCACTAGAAAAAGTGTTCCAAATTTACAGGACATGAGGCAATGGGACACTGATAAAACCACAACTGTCAGAACATGTCAGCCAGTCCCACAGGCAACACCTGCGTTAGTCTCACAAAATGCAGATAATTCTTGAGACTTGCCAGAAGTTTCATTACCAGTAGACCTACACATGCTAAATTCAAAATTTACGACAGTTTTTCCAGAGCCACTGTAAATCAGCTTATGCAAGATGAATGGATTCATGAACATCGAACTAACTGGGAAATTTACTGCCATCTGGAAATTTATATGGAAGCTGCCCAGCAGGTAGCTGGTGTAGTCCACAAGACATACCTTCTGCAACTCAGACTGCATGTGAGTGGCTTGTCCTTCTCCTATATTTCTCCCGAAACTTCTTTTTTCTACCTGTCATCTGGCAAACTGTTCCCAAATGGGTTCAATAGTGCCATCTGACCAGCCTTGAAAACACAAGCAAATCAAAAGCCCTTAATCATAGACAACTACACTTCACTGATACTTTGAGTCAAAAGATGTATTTACCAGTACAAACTACCACGCTTATTTGCTGAGGCTCTGCTCTCCTTCTGCTCTAACTCAGGCTAAGCTGGTGCAACTGGATTCCAATGATGTTTTTGCATCAGGACTGGAGAAACAGACCTCTCCCAATTCATTTTTAGTGATCTTCTTTCGTTTCTCCAGTTGCAAAAAGTGTAAAACAATACCTTTATGTGGTTTTGGATGGTTGAGATAAATGGCCTTCTTGGGCTGACCTCAAGCTATATCACTTTAGAAAAAAAAAAATATAGCAAACACTCTTTAAAAGATTTCTCTATTTTCATACACCAATTAGTATACTAATTCCTGTTTCCAGGGCAAGTTGAGTTTTTAATTTTTTTTTGCTTCCTTGTTCTTATTATAAGGAAGATTACCTTACTGAGAGGAATAATGTATGTTTCCTAATGTAACTGACCACTGCGAGACACAAGAGCGTGCCATAATTGATGCTGTCACGAGGAACTGCAACACCGACTCCTCAGCCTTATGCACACAACCTACATAGAGAACAACACGTAATTATGCACACTATGCCCTGCTTACCTCCATACAAAGGAATGTGATATTTGTGCAGGTTTACAGATTAATCTGCTGTAATTCCTTTTAATGTTGAACTACTTCCAGCTCAAATATAATTAAGATCACCAGGTACAAAAGATTCAGATTGGAAATATGAGTACACTCCAACAGAACAAATAACAGCTTGATGCTGTTTCTTATGTTCAAATAGTTGGATACATTAAGGATCCTGACAGCATGTTTGTTCCCTAAGCATGCAGCAGAAGAAAAAAAAGGTTTCATTTCAAAAGGCAAAAGACTACTACTGCATTTAATTAGAGTGTAAAATCCCTTAAATACACAGATCTGCCAATTTATGTGACGTGACTGCTACAAGTCCTAGCAACAAAGGATTTCTTCCTCCCGCCCTCCCAAATCAAATCCCAATTTATACTTTAAGCAACCATCATCAGTATCAATAAAATGAAGGCTTTGGAAAAAAAAGTTTGTTTGTTTCCTTAAGTCTTCAGATAATCCTATTAACATTTGTGGCACAGCAGCAAGGCAGGGGATGAACAGAAATTCTAGGTCTGTCTCCCTGTTCCCAAGTGTCTGAGGGTTTCCAAGCAGACTGAGAAAAGTGGGGAGAATCCCAGGGGGCAAAGAGGACCCTCAGCCTTGCTCAGCCATATGCATAGTCTGAAACAGCCATATTCACTTAACTGTAAGGGGGAACGGCACTGCTAAGAAATCAGTTTTGAAGAGGGAATTCAATATTCTAGTATCAGTTTAATTTTATTTTCCAGTTTGTGACAGAAACAGTAACAGCTTTGGATTTTACTTTATTTTTATAAACCTAAATAAAACCATATGTGACCTATTTGGTTATGATCCACCCCACTTTCATTACTGGTTTCCTAACCTACCAGAGCAGATTCTGAGAAGTGAAAGGAAACCAAAGTACTTGTTCGTGACAAACTTCTGCAGCAATTTCCCATGGCACCAGAGCCTGAGGAAGAAACACTCAGATTTGTTTTTCAGACTTATAACTGAGAAGGTGTGACACTAACAGATTATCTTCTGTGAAAGCCTGTAGCTTGGCACACAAAGATTAAAATATTTAGGACAGAACCATACAATCCCTATAAATTATCTGCAGAACCTCCGAGATCTGCAGGCA